TACATATTCAGTAAAACAAGTTTATCCTTATTTTCGATTGACCAGGATTTTTCAAAACACCTCGTCATTTCATCATTTATATAAAATTACATTATAACTCCATATCTTCAAAAATCTTAGCATTTCATTCATATTTTATTGCATACAAAATACTCTAAAACTGTCTAATTATTGCATTTTAAACCTTATCTCAAAGATTTAAGGTTAAAAATCTAGTTTCTTGCTCGTTCTTCTATATAGGAATCTACACTTTGGAACGAGCAAAGGACTGACGGACGGACTGACAGACAATTATAATTTTTGTTTGTCTTTTAAAAGTACTTTTTTAAGTTATACATTGACATTGAGATTTAAATATTTGATATTGGTATTAATTTTGACATTGAATTTGAATTTCACATTCAATTTTGACTTTGACTTTTTACATTATTGAAATAATTAGACAGTTTGTAGTAGATTGATTTGCAATGCCTAATTTTTATCCTTTACTACATACTTGCCAGGATATCTAGATCTTGTAGTTAGACCCAAAATATTTCTACTTTTGGGCCTGTAATTGTCAAATCCGTGTTTCTTAAATAGTCAAAAAGGTGTTTTTGTTCTGTTTTCATATTATAAATAAATAATATCTAGTTGTGCTGGCTAAAATTAAAAAAACCATAAAAAAAATAAGTAGGTTTGGTTTATAAAACAAAAAGAAAAAATATATACAAAAAAATCCATAAGGTTTTTAGTTTTTTTATAATTGTTCTGAAAACTGAACAGAAAAGCACTCTTCTACTATACCATGTAACTGAGAATTTCAAAAATAAAAATCTCATTAAAAATCTACTCCGGCTCTAATTTTGAGACCTCGTGGAAACGACCAACGATCATCTCAAAAAATATACCAGCAAACAATAAAATTAGGCCAAACTGCATGTTTTACTTTTACTAAACTATAGCAAATAATTGTAAAAAGATAGAGAGAACATAACATCACGCTTTTTATCCCTGACGGAGTAGGCAGAGGTGCACATTACGGCACTTACTGAAGCGCTACTCAATTTTAAGTTGTACTTAAATATCGTGCCATCTCCGTCATTTTACAAAGAATTTGTGGAAACAGAACTATACCTTAGCGCGACTTAAAATTGAGTAGCGGTTGAGTATTCCGACATTAATGCTGCTGTACAATGTAACACTCACTTTTCACTATTTATGTTACGAGTCCCATGTGAGAGGATGAGCCTGTTGCCATATACCGGGCACAATTCCAGACTCCGTGCTACTACTGAGACTTTTTTAAAATCCCAGTAATACCCAGAGAGAGAACAGTGAGAAGTAATTTCAAAATATTGTATTAATATATTTATTCTATGGGTATTTATCCACTCTGACGTCCGTGGATAGTACGGTATCCAAGAAAAAAGTAGCGTCATACGCCCATGGATACTATAGTATCCAAAGCGACTAGTTGTGTTTAACCCCCTCTAGTTTAAAATACGGTCTTGCTTGGTGAGTTTTGACAGATTATCTATACAGATGAATAAATAGTTCGACGAAAAAAATAGAGATGGCAGTGTAATAAGCTTTGACAAACAAAATATAATTTTTTAAGTTCAGTTGACTCGTTTGACGCGCGTGTTGTGAAGTGTTTTTGTGAGTGCCAACAATTATGTCGTAAGTACTACAGTTTTGTTTTATTTATATTACAAGTGTTATACATCAAAATAAACTAGAAGATTTGTGCTTTACGATGATGTATAAATATCACAGTTTTAGCTGATAAATCTAGTCTACTTTTATCTTCAAACAATTGTTGTTTCGAAAAAAATGGCCGGTCGTATGGTGTCGGCCACTTTTAGTTTTGTTTATACATATTTACATACTTGCATTACAATAGTATAAAATATCGAAATACATTTCGTAATAAGCAAAATAATACATTTTTCAAAGAGATATATACTAAATTCACTGAAGATTCCATAATAATGTCAATGTGTTCCTCAGGTTTTTTGATGTGGACTGTTTGGTATCCACGGACGTTACATGAAACGTGATAAATAAGGTTCGCTATACACGGCAAAATATGTTTGCATTATTTTTGTTTTGCTAGTGGTGGGTATAATATTTTGCTTGAGATGATACTAATATTTAATATAAAATGCAATTTTGGGTTTTGTACTAATATTCATCATTTATTTTTCGCTTGGTTTCCGTTGGATATGTATAATGTTCTAATGGTTTTTTTTTTGTTTTGAAACATTAATTACATGTTTGTTCGTGTTGATTAATTTCCGCTAAATGTAAAAAAATGCACTTGTGGATTTGACTACCTTTCTTTTTTACTGTTGCCCTTGCACGTGTTGCATGGTCGCATATATTTTAATGCTTCGCCAAATTTTATTTTATTCTTTTAACAATACTAATGTTTTAAATTATTCACAGCGACGTCAATCTCTGCATTGAAAATTGTTTTATGGCTTACCATATATAAATGTGTGGAAGGAATAAATTATTATATTATATATTGATTTTTTTATTTGCTTTTTATTTAAATAACCAACTAGAACAAATAAACAACTTCAAAAATACAATTATTGCATAAAACTAATTCATAAAATTATTTAAAATATTTTATTAAAATTACATCGTGTGTGGGAAACCTTAGACGGGCGGCCATATTGCTATTATTTCGCCTTCTCGGACGAGTCAAGGGCGCTCGGGACATCGCGGTAAAATTACGAGGAGTAGTGTTTTGTTTTGATTTAATTAAAATACTTAGAGTTAACCGAATGTAATCGTATATACATCAGAAGAAAGGGTAATAAGTCTAGTTTGTTGTAAAAATATTTTATTGATAAAATATGCAATAGTTGTGCCTTATATTCTAAAAAGGTAGAAATAATTGTGTATTTTTTTTCTGAATTACATGTTTAACCCGGTTTTTTGTATCAAAGATTATAACTTACGATTTAAAAAAATCATTATGATTGATCAGTATTCTTCAATCTTTTTTTTGGTATTTTTTTCTTTATTCTAGCCATTACGGTTCAGTAGCTATATAGGTTTTTTGTTACGACGAACTTGCGAGTCGCGCGCGGTTCGGACGCCGCGCGCAGCTGGACGTTAGAGAGATAAACGGTCGCGCGGCCCGGACGTTAGAGTGGTTATGTGTGTAGTATACATATTACGAAACAATTTTTTTTTAATTGTGTTCTGGCTTCCCATCAACCACTTCATTTTTCTGCACTTCCCTATGGTTAACTGTCAGAGAATGCCTTAAGGCATTAAATGTTATGTTTTGTGAAGAAGAAATAAATAAATAATAGTTTCGTAATTGGCCTAATTTTATAGTTCACTAATAGTTTAACAACACAATGACATGTCAATTATACGTATACATATCAAAGTAATGCTCACATAAAAATTGTTGATCTTTGAACAATAATTATAGCTTCTATGAGAAAATTATAACAATATAATTGTTAAGTATTATGTTTTCAACTTACTCACGTAGTCACGTAACTTATTTGACGTGACGCGTCGCGGGTCGCGGAATTGGGTAGTTTCCAGGGTATCAAAATTAAAAATCTAATTAGTCCGTCAGTTAGATAATGAAAAAATATTAGACACGTATTTTTTATTTTCTCGTATTAACCCCTCGAGCGTCCTTATGAGCACCCGGTGGATCATAAGAAAAAATGCTCCATGCTGCTTCTCTTTTATAAAATCTATTATTACTGTTTTGTTTTTATTTTGACTGTATTTTTTTATTTCTATTGTAATGATCCTTGTTTTCGTGTGCCAATGGCCGAATAAATGCGTTTTCTTTCTTTATTCCTTTCTTTCTCCAAATGTCACGTGTGCACCCGTTGGATCACGAACGCGGACGCTCGACGGGTTAAGTTGCAATGCTTATATAAAATGGCGCTAAGTTTAGGAGTGGGAGGTCGTTACGTCATAACGTGCTACAAAATGTAGCACGCTGTGACGTCACACGATATTTGAAATGAATATATCGTCGAAAGTATTTAATTTTGTGAGAAAAGTAAAAATACGTGTCTAATGTTTTAAATTAATGTAACAGACGGACATTAAAATAAAATTTAGGAAACTACCCTATTCTGCTCATGAATATGAGCCTCTAGCATGGCTAGAAACTAGTCGAGTTCCTCGTCAAACAGTTACGTGAGTAAGCCGAAAATATAATAATTAATTTAGTATGTCTCACGAAAGTTATAATATAGACAATAGGGTAGACGACTAATTTTTATTTTAATGTCCGTCTGGTAGATTATTTAAAAACATTAGACACGTATTTTTTATTTTCTCACGGAAACGAATAGTTTCGAAGATATATTGATTTGAAATGTCGCGTGACGTCACTTCTCAGTACATTTTATACTGAGAAATGACGTTTTAGCCCCCACTCCTAAACTTTGATTCGTTTTATCTAAGTATTGTTTTATTATACGACAAAATAAAAAAATACGTGTCCTATATTTTTTAATTACCTAACTGACGGACTAATTAGATTTTTGATTTTCATACCCTGTCATCATCCCCATTTAATAGTTTTCTCCTCACCCCATGTCCATTCTTGTCCATTATTCTTCATGACGATACCTAAGTACGTGTGTCGCCTGGACAGTCAACCTCGCTACATCCTTGTTGACTGGACATCTACACTACATGAGCTGCTGTTTACATGTGAACATTAGCTCATGACGATACCTAAGTACGTGTGTCGCCTGGACAGTCAACCTCGCTACATCCTTGTTGACTGGACATCTACACTACATGAGCTGCTGTTTACATTAGCTCAATCTCTTTTGGTCATTTTGATCCCAATCTTGGACCAACATTTACCGTTAAATGATCTCCACATATCCCTGATACGGTCAAGATGACATACCATATCAATGTTGCTTGTCAAATCTGGTATATATCCTCTTTTTTTTGATTTTTCATATCCAAGTCGCGAGATTACAAAACCTCGGATCAAAATGACATTTCTAATCATTCTTTTTCAATCTTTTTATGACATTCGGCGATATAATCTCCAATTTCCTTTTGTCCCCTATCTCTGACATTATAATAGGTTTATTTAGCTTAAATTTTTGCACTACAGGCGTCAATTGGGGCGCATTATCTTGTTTTTTAGGTAACTGAGTTATGGGACCGACTTTGATAGGTTTCAAAAGGTTATTAGGGATCCCTATAACTGGGGTCTTAATGGTGATATTTTCCAAAATGACTGGCGAATCCTTTTTCTGGATATTTGGTGGATTTTTGGCCGGTGGCGTTATTGGTTTCTTTTCTTTAACTTCTTTTATGTTTACGTCGCCTTTATCATCTTTGTACAGCATAAAATCGCTGCCCTTGCTACCGTTTGGTAGCGCATTATCGAAATACCGTACAGATGTTAATTTATTAGCTATTAGCATCGATAGTTCAGCTATACTAAATTCAGCTAAGAGGTCGTTCACGCTAGAACCCGTGAAGTTAATAATATTGGGGTCGGCGCCATTTTCTACTAAAATTTCTATAGTTCTTTTGTAATGGTCTACTATCTTTGTTTTGTTGCCTCGTTCTGAAAAGAGAAAATGTAACTATTAATGCGAGTTACCTTTCACTATTTATGTTATGAGTCCCATGTAATAGGGGGTGAGCCTATTGCCATATACCGGGCACCATTCCAGCCTTTGTGGCACTATTGAGAACTTTGAAAAACTAAAAATATTTTTTTGCTCTCCCCGGTAGTCCCAGACTCCTTACTCTGTAGTTTTGGTTACAATTAACCGACCAACGGTATTTCCATCTTTATCAATATATTCTCTATCAACATCTAAAATCATATACCAACTTTGCCTGACTTGGGAATCGAACCCATACTCATATTCCATCCACTTAATACACAGAATCAAAAGGTCCGCAACACACTTGTAACTCCTCTGGTGTTCCAGGTGTCCATGGGTGACGCCGATTGCTTACCATCAGGTGATCCGTCTACTCGTATACATACCATAAAAAGGTAAAAAACAGCTTATAAACGGTTTAATTGAGCTTGCCCCATCTATTTCTTTGGGTCTTTAGTGATTGGAATTGCAACCCCCTTACTGACGGCAGATCGACCAGGATGCTTACTCTTGAAACCAATCTCAATGGCAATGCAATGTCAATCCAATAAATTCTCAATAATTATTCAATGTCAACACTATACAACCCCTATTGTAGCTGTTAAAATAGCATTCAGAGTACGGAATATAAAGCCAAACTTAATACCATTGAGTTTATTCAATATCTAAGCAATATTTTGCACACTGCACACTTGGTGCAGTGGCTGGGCAACCGGCTGCGGTGCAACGTGTCGCGGGTTCGATTCCCGCACGGAAGAACACTTTGTGTGATCCACAAATTGTTGTTCCGGGTCTGGGTGTCATATGTATGTGAACTTGTATGTTTGTAAACGTACACACGACACAGGAGAAAATCCTGGCAACGTTTTTTAAAGAAAAAAAAATAATTTAGTCGGTTCGATTACCGTGTGCAACAAGCAAATATTTATAATCTATGAATGCCGTTTTGTTTCTTTACAAAAATAAAGGAATGTTTTCTTTGAGTAAAATGTTCTATCTAAAATATTAAGACTACTTCCCCTTCAGATGGCATTACAACATTCTACCCTGTAAAACATGTCGCGGAGAACCTAACGGGTTACCGGGGCTCCGGCTCGACGTGCAGGAGAAGGAACGGGGTGGTTTTTAGTCAGCAAGAGTCTGACACTCCCTCCCGCCTCACCCAGGCGGGAGCAGTCATTCGATGATTTTCCCCACTTAAAAAAACCCTGTAAATCATACCTGCTGCATCCATGCAAGCTTCGCTGACAGCGAGGTAGAGAGCCGTGATCCCACTGTTGGGCGAGGCCATGTTCACCGTGGCCCTACAACTCTCCACTAAGGCCAACACATTGTTATATCGCCCGGATTTACTCGCCACCATGAGCGGGGTGTAACCTGTAATTAAATATTATATTATATTAATATATGGAAATATTCTCGGAATAATAAGCAGCTTGAAGTCGGTTTGTTAAACGTAATAAGGTCGGTCAATCATTACATAGTATAAAACAAAGTCACTACCTGCCGTCTGTCTGTCCCTATGTATGCTTAGATCTTTAAAACTACGCAACGGATTTTGATGCGGTTTTTTAATAGATAGAGTGATTCTTAAGGAAGGTTTATAATGTATAATACATGCATATTGCACCCGTGGGAAGGCGGGGCGGGTCGCTAGCTTATAATATACTAAAACCTTCTCCTAAGTATGACTACCACTTTTCTGAAAACCGTATCAAAATCGGTTCAGCAAATCACGAGATAATTGCACATAAACATGCATACATACATCTCAGTCGGTTAAAAACAGTTTGGTATAATATAATAACATCATCAGCCTCTTATCCCTGAAAGGCAGAGGTGCACATTATGCCACTGTACAATGTTACACCCACTTTTCACTATTTATGTTATGAGTCCCATGTAATAGGGGGTGAGCCTAGTGCCATATGCCGGGGCATAATTCCATTCCACAAGACTCCGTGCTACTACTGAGATTTTTTTTAAAACCCAGTAATAATCGAACATGATACCCCTTGCTCGGCAGTCGCACTTGCGACCACTCAGCCAACGAGGCAGAAATAAAAAGACAAATCAAAAAATTACTAGTTACATTAAAATTGTTTAGTTTCATCGTATTATTGAAATCGTGTATATGTACAGAGGCCGGCAAATCAACGTACCTACTCCATTTTTCTCTGATTCTCGACTTTATGTCAATACAACAAAGTTGAAAGTGTAATTAAAGAAATTGGTCAAAAAAAGGGTAGATCGACCTGCTGGCCAGCGAACTATAAATTCTACTCACCCTGGCAATCGTACTGCTTATTAATATGCATCATAAGTATGGGCAGCAATTCTTCATCAGTTTTGTTCTCAAAACCAGGTCTCCATAATGCTTCATTTTCATGTAACAAGTTCCTGTAAAATCATAAAAATTAGAGGCTTTTGTGGATTGTGTGTGTGTGAAAATTGTGGGAGATCCATGCTTCGGTACGAATGGGTCGGCTCGACCGGAGTGATACCACGGTAAACCGTTTTGTTTCGTCGTGTGAGTGAGGTTACCGGACGCCCAATCACCCCCCTCCCCAACCCCTGAAACCCCAACAACCCTCAAATTCCTAATCCCCAAATAGTCGAGAACGCACTTATACCTCTTCTAGTGTTGCGGGTGTCCATGACGACGTTATTTGCTTGCCATCAGGTGATATATACGTTCATATACCACAAAAAGAAACACTAAGTCATCCATTTCCTACACTACCGCCATCTACCTTGACATGGCCGAATTTTTACCTACAAAAATGGCTTAAAACTCACCTAGCATTCAAATGGCAGTAGTTCAGCAATACGGGTAGATGTTCGGTGTTTTTATCAGCAGCTATATGAAACGACGTCCGGTCCTCATCATCAGCGTCGAAGGGATCAGCTCCAGCATTCAGGAGTACCGATGTTAGTTCAGGATTCTCTTGGAAGAGGGCCATTCTTAGCGGTGTCTGTGAACAACGATATTTTTTACTAATTTGTTAGTTTAAACGCGATAATATCCGAAACTGCCTCGTTGGGCGAGTGGTCGCAAATGCGATTGCCGGGCAAAGGGTCTCAAATTCGAATTCAAATTCATTAATTTGCAAGAATACATATTTACAAAGGAAGATCTTACAGCCTCAAAGTCATTGTATCTCGGGTTCGATTTCCGGGCCAGGTAAAGTAATACTGGGTTTAAAAAAAATCTCAGTAATAGCACGGAGTCTGGAATTGTGCCCGGTATATGGCAATAGGCTCACCCCTTATTACATGGGACTCATAACATAAATAGTGAAAAGTGGGTGTTACATTGTACAGTGTATGTGTCAGCCAACGACAAGCAGTCGTTGGCTGACCTTCCTTACTAATATTATAAATCTGAAAGTGAGTTTGTTTGTTTGTTCCACCTTCACGCCGTAACTACTCAACCGATTGCTTTGAATTTTTGCAGACGTAAAGTTAGAAGTCCGGATTAAACTTTTTAACCCGGAAAAAATTGATATTCCCGAGGAAAAACAAAAGTATTGGTATAGATGGCGCTGTGTGTATTGGTATATGTCACATAGGGTACTTTTTATTATTTTGTGACGCGAGCGAAGCCGCGGGTAAAAGCTAGTAAATATATAAGAATGACTTCACCATACTTGGTTGAGGCGAGAGGGAGTGTCAGACTCTTACTGACTAAACACAACCACGTTCCTACTCCTGTATAAAGCCGAAGCCACAGTGATATCATTGCACAACCCGCTACCCCGGCCAGAACAAAATATGGGCGTATCATTAACCTACATTGCACAACATGAATCCTTTCAATGAATAAGAACTGTGTCATAAAGTGTTACACCGAAATATCGTCGCATCGAAATCGATTCATCCGTTTCTGAGAAATGGACACACAAACATGTGATTATGCATCAACTTACGCGACTTCCTCGAGTAACTTGCATACTTTAGTCAAGTGGGTAGGTATGTCAATATTATAGTTTATTTTTATGTGCTTTTCCCTAATCGATAGTATAATATATAAATATAATTATTATATGTCTTTACCGTTCACGGGACCACAGGGTCCCGGTCATTTGGGAGGCGTACGAGGGGCCGAAGCCAACTGCGCAGAGGCCCTTTAGACAACATTAATCTAACTGTAATGGACACACAAACCGGCGACTATCCCTGTATGCACTATGGAACTGCAACCAAGAGCAGTCCCCGGTTAGTGTAGGACTATTGTGAATAATGGAAAAAAAGGTAGGGTTATGGATGGGTTGCTGTGGACTGGTAAATTGGGAACTATGGATGACTATGGCACCTGCCGAAACAATGTAATTTTTACACGTAAAAATGGCAGGCGGAGACTCGCCAATTATAATATAATTATAATTAGTATAATATAATTATTATTATTTAGACTTCTTCAATGCTTAGGTAGTTTAAAACGAAGTCGTTTTCCGCTGTCAGTCCCTATGTATGCTTCGATCTTCACAACCACGCAACGGATTTTGATAAGACTTTTAAATAGATAAACTTATTCAAGAGGAAGGTCTGTAATATGTATTAGTTTAGTTTAGACTGCCTCGTTGGCCGAGTGGTCGCAAGTGCGACTGCCGGGCAAGGGGTCTCGGGTTCGATTCCCGGGTCGGGCAAAGTATTACTGGGTTTTAAAAAAAATCTCAGTACTAGCACGGAGTCTGGAATTGTGCCCGGTATATGACAATAGGCTCACCCCTTATTACATGGGACTCATAACATAAATAGTGAAAAGTGGGTGTTACATTGTACAGTGGCATAATGTGCACCTCTGCCTACCCCTTCGGGGATAAAAGGCTTGATGTTATGTATGTATGTTATGTATGTATGTTATGTATGTATGTTATGTATGTATGTTATGTATGTATGTTATGTATGTATGTTATGTATGTATGTTATGTATGTATGTTATGTATGTATGTTATGTATGTATGTTATGTATGTATTAGTTTCTACCAGCGACGTCAAGTGCACAAATACGTATGTGAATTTTATTATTCAAACTCAAAGTAAACTGTTGAAGGGGGGAAATCTTCAACAGGCGCTTAGCTTTTTGGGGAAAAAGACTAGGGAGTGTGTGATTTCTACCTCACTAAAACCTCCCCGGTGGCCACCATCCGCAGCTGAAGGAGGCACCGGGTCCTCTTGGTACACCAAAGCCTGTTACGGCACCTCCTTTTAGAGACCTATAGGTCTACTTAGAGCCTCTCTGTGCAGTGCACGGCGACACGCGACCACTGTGCCGCCATCTTCATTTAGGTTATTAGGTGGGACCTAGATTCCCCTACTAGAAAATTAAACTACTGGACCTGGGAAACTGGAACATGCATGTTCCTCGAGGAGTGAAGATGAGAGCTGAGAGAGGATTTCCCTATACTCCAGTGCAGAGGGTTTCCCTAAACTCCTGTGGAGGCGGTATTTTTCTTAGAATCGCTCTATATTTCTTTCCTCTTATTGTTATATTTGCAGGAACATTATAGGTACCTATTTAAACATATTGTTTACGATTGGGTAAGGGAATGCCCCTAATTGAATGGCTGACTAAAGTTATATGGAATGAAATATTATTGTTGATACAGATGTACCTATCAGGTTTTTTTATTTAAAGCTGTTATCAAGTACACTGCAATTGTTTTAGCTTAAAACATACATATAAACGTCAATTTCGTTGAGAGGGAGGCAGAGGGGCGTATGTTAAAAGTCATGTTGATTTTTGTCAGTTATGTTATAATAGAGATATGCGATTCCTGTTTGAAACAACTCTGTATGTGATCCACAAATTGTTGTTTTAGGTATGGATGAGACCCTGTGTATATACATCACAAAACGCACACAGGACACGGTAGAAAATCATAGTCAGGCACATCAAGGAGCCATCAGACCACCACAGATGGAGTCCAGTGAAGCAGATGCCTAATGCTGAGCTGCAGAGGACTTAACTGGGACTCCGGCTTGGAGGGCAGAAGTAGGAACGGGGTGGTGTTTAATCAGTAAGAGTCTAACACTCTCTCTCGCCTCACCTAAGGCAGGAAGGCCTTTGGACGAATTTCCCCGCTCAAAAATATATACATTTCCTCGTTTAAACTGTCAAACACCAAGCGGTCACCGGTGACCGCGACCTATTGTTCTTTAATTGTGTCTATAAAACCGGTACTCGACGAGTTAATATAGCAAGTGAAACGGAAAACGTATGACAGAATTCATTTCCAGTTTAACTAAACAAACGCCTATGTATATTACCCTATACACACGCATGTCTCCCATTGCGGTAGACAGAGACATTAGAAGGCCAAATGCCACGATTTTGACATACCTCTCGCTTCATCACCATCGCTGAATTTCAGCACCAGCCTGTATCATTCATACATCATCATCATCAGCCTATAAGTGGCCACTGCTGAGCAAATGCCTCTCACGGAGGTTTGAGGATTAATCACCACACTTCCTCAATGCAGGTTGGCGATTTCAAACTTATATTTGGATATTATAAGTCCAGGTTTCCTCACGATGTTTTCCTTATATATATAAACATGTGTACATGTACGTGATAAACATACATTATGAATGTAGTTCCACTCTCTTGACCTTTTACATATAATGCGAGGTAATTCCCCGAGAGTATTAAATACTAATGGTAATATTTTCAGTAGTTACGTTTATGTGTAGGTTTTTTATAGGATAAGCCGGTAAACAAACAGACGGATCACCTGATGGTAAGCAATCGGCGTTGCCCATGGACACCTGGAACACCAGAGGTGTTACAAGTTGGTTACCGGCCTTTTAGGGATTAGAAATTTGAGGATTATTAGGGATTTGGGGTTATTGGGCCTCCGATAACCTCACTCACGCGACGAAACACAACGCAAGCGTTGTTTCACTTCGATTTTCTGTGAGGCCGTGGTATCACTCCGGTCGAGCCGGTTCATTCGTGCTGAAGCGTGGCTCTCCCACAATTAAAATAGATTTTCTTATTTCGATAATACATGTAGGTTAGATGCTTTATATATAAAGACTCATACATAAGTTAATATTTGGTCAGTACATAAAGTATTGCATTTTCAACACAATGCTAGAAAACAAGCCTTATCTAACAATACTGCAGGTAAAGTAATCTAGCTATATATGTATATAATGCAAAGTAATAGTCAGTGATCGTGGTGGCCCGGAGGTTTAAGACGCCCCCTTCTCATGCACGAGGGCGCGGTCTCGAAATCTACCAACGGCAAGTACCAATGTGAATTTAATATAATTTCAGCCCGGCAGATGGCGCTGCAGTCGATGTTTAGGTTATTTATCCTAAACGACTGAATTAATTTGAATGAATTTTTGCTTATACATTCAAGTGGATATGCAGGACAACGTCTGTCGGGTCCGCTAGTTTATACATATATATAATTCTGCTGTACGTGTGTATGTCATTGAACTCCTCCTAAACGGCTTGACCGATTTAAATGAATTTTTTTGTACGCGTTTGAGTGGCACCCTGGATGGTTTACATTCACAAATCAGCCCGGCAGATGGCGCTGCAATTGCTGCAAAGCTGCTGTTATTTATCTATACCTATTATTATATTATATGCAGGACAACGTCTGTCGGGTCCGCTAGTTATGTTATAAAATACTCATATACCTAAGAACGTAATACTATCGCTACGTTTTTTCCAATCTTCTTATCGATTTGTTAGTAAGTTATCATATTATTACAGTTATTAATATTATAAATGAGAATGTTTTGAAGTTTGTTTGTATATTTGTTACTCAATTATGTCAAAACGGCTGAAGGGACATAACATAACATAACATCACGCCTTTTATCCCCGAAGGGGTAGGCAGAGGAGCACATTATACCACTGTACAATGTAACACCCATTTTTCACTATTTATGTTATGAGTCCCATGTAATAGGGGGTGAGCCTATTGCTCGTAACACATAGGATACTTTTTACAAAAGCAAATGAATAAATAAATGAGTTATCTCACCGTTCCGTCAGCAAGCAGGTCCACCGTAGACCCTCTCATCTTCAGCACTAAGCACTGACGTCTGAGCAGGTCTACATCATTCGTCAGCACAGCCACGTGGATAGGTCTAGAAAAAACAACATGCTGAAAAGAGGTTTGCCATAGCTTCAGGTTCTGGCGGGTTGCAGATCAAGGTTCAGGTTTATCAGAGAGCCCTGCTGTCCGGTCTCAATTAAACATCCTTGACTTTAAAAAAGGCAATGACTTCAAAGTTTAGAAGGCAGTTAGGAAATGCCCGCCCTCATCTAGTTATTTAAAGACTAGCTACTTCTGCGCGGTTTCACACGCTCTGCTCAGCTCCTATTGGTCGTAGCGTGGTGTTTTATAGCCTATAACCATCCTCGATAAATGCACTATCCAACACAAAAAGAATTATTCAAATCACACTTGTAGTTACGAAGATAAGCGCGTTCAAACAAACAAACAAACAAAAAAACAAATTCTTCCGCTTTATATAATAGTTTAAAAGATTGGCGTGTAAAAGAGTTACTTTATAGCCTATTTGAAGAAATACAATTTCATCATCAGTACTCCATCCCTTCCCAGACAATCCACAAACAGGGAGAGATGGCGGGAGATCATGAGGAAAGCTGTATCAGCCTCCGACACAAATACGGCCGCCTCAATGTGACCGCTCTGGCAAGAGCGAAACGACAGAGAAGAGACTACATCCCTTAGTCGGTTCTTATGTGTGACGATTTTTGTATAGGAGGGCCATACTTCAGCACTGCTATGTCGGCTCGACCGGAGTGATACTACGGCCTCACAGTACACCGACGGGACACTACCACAGTCATGTGAGTGAGGTGGCCAGAGGTCCTAACTCCTCCCAAAACGCGAACAACGCAATAGTAACTCCTCTAGTGTTGCGGGTGTCGCGGAGAACCTAACGGGTAACCGGGGCTCCGGCTCGACGTGCAGGACTCTGTCACTCTCTGACACTCTCTGACACTCCCTTCCGTCTCACCCAGGCGGGAGCACTTAGTCGATGATTTTACCCCCTTAAAAAAAGTGTTGCGGGTGTCTATGGGCGGCGCTACTAGCTTACCATCAGGTGATAAGTCTGTCGTTTAAAAGAATACGGTAGATGCCTAATTTGTATTTTAATGTCCGTCTGGTATATTAGTTTAAATCTTTAGACACGTATTTTTTAATTTCTTACAGAAACAAATACTTTCGACGATATATTGATTTGAAATGTCGCGTGACGTCACTTCTATGTACATTTTATACGTGTAATATAGTTGATGAAGATGATTGTTCTTGGTGGTGGGTTCTCAGGGGCGTGAAATAACGTTCGACACACGAATTACTGTAAACTGTATATATTGGAAATAAACTAAATATAAAACAAAGTTGCACAATAATACAAAAAAACTCAAAGAATATTCGCGGCACAAATATGGGCGTGCGTCGCGGCTCCGGCGCGGGACTCGTTGTTCTAGCGTCGAGCGGTCAGTGGCGGGGAAGCGGGGGAAGGGAAATAGTGTGGTGGCACGTTGCCACTAGAGTAGCGCGCGTGCGTTCGACACAAACCTAAATCGGTGTACCGCGTTACATCCTCCCCCTCTGACCTAGACATAGCGCCCTCGCGTCTTGGTCAGTCTAAAAATCGCTTGGGTTTTCCGCGCCTACGCGGTACTTACCCGAATTCTCGCCACTATGTAGTTTACGACGTGTTTTAGACCTCGGAGTCTGTCCACGGGGCGCATCGTCGCTGCCCTGGGTTTTTAAAAGCAGATCTCCGGCTCCTGCGGAATATTCCGGCGCAGGGTGACGTTTCTTTCCAGAGCTACGTTTCTCGCTAACTCGGTTCTTTTCACGGAATTTACGAGCGTCAAACGGCGCGTTTGACGTACGTCGTAAGTACGGAGTAAAACTCATGACGGTGGGCCGTTCCTCCGGGCCCTCCCCCTGCATTGAAGGTGCTACGAGAGTAGATGCCCAACGATACCGGCTCGCGTCAGACTTTAATCGAAGCCGGGTGTAATCGGCTGAATGTTCTTCCTTTGCGGAGCGGTTAGTTATATCCAACAGAGAAGCAGTTAACTTTGCCCTCTGGTCAACCGTCAGCGCGGTCGGCTCCATGCTATCAGTGGTAGGTAAAGCGGGGCTGGCGGCAAACAGATGCCAACTCGACTCGTCGTTAAAACGCCAGCTGCACTGTGGTAAATCCAACAGGATATTCGCTTTCATAATAAAATTCCTACCTAACAGCGTCCTCGTTTGTGCATTCGGTAGCACCATAAACGTAGTGGGTATCACGCGTTTTCCTAATATGACGTCGACGTCACACTCAAGCGCGGTACGTTTCTGCTGAGACCCGTCGGCAAGACCTACGGTACGTACGACCGTCCTAAACATCACGCCAGCTTTAACGAGCAAAGCGTGCAGCGTAGGGCTCGCGATAGAATGTGTGGCCCCCGTGTCGAGTATGGCCACACCCTTACGGTCAACGACCTCAATACTTATAAGCGGTTGTGTATCATTATCACTCACGCCTACAATGTAAGTACTGCAAAAATCTACTTTACTTGAGTCGGCTGTACTTTTGCACTTATCGCATTTTGAGCGCACTACTCCCAGCTGGCCACATCCGTAGCAACGTAACTGAGTGTTATTATTATTATTAGAAGTATCTTCCTTCTTATTACGACAGTTATCAACTGAATGCCCGAAAAGTTTACAATAACTACACTTCGGTCGCGTACGTTTTCGTACGTCACTATTATTCTTTACATTAGACGTGGAGGCCTGACCTAACACGGCCGCATCACGTAAACTTACTAAAGAACTCGCGCTACATGACGATTTCGAACTTACGGGTTCGGCGACGGTTTTCGAAAGCTTAAGACTCGGGTTTGTGTCAGAACGGTCACGCGCGGCGCACGAGTCAACAGAACTCGTATTATTATTACAAATGGGGGAACTTACCTCCGCCAGTGACTCCTCGACTAACCTGACTTTGGTGATGAGTTGCTCCAGCCCGTCGAAGGAATCACGACACACGCGTTTTCTAATCCTACGATCTAACAACCCGTATACAATGTCCAACTTCATTACCTCCGGTACTACGTACGGTAATTTTGATAATAAAGCGCGCACTTTACAAATAACTACGTCGGCCCGTTCACTATTTTGTTCGGTAGCGAAAATGTCTCGAAGTATTTTATAACCGGGTCGCGGCACTCCAAACATCCCTCGAAGTCGTTGTAGGGCGTCGGTCCACGACGTGACCGACGGCTTCACTCCTTGCCACCAGACGGCGGCCTCGCCCACCAGCAGCATCGGGAGGCCGCGCAGCGCGTGCTCGTCGCTGACGTTGGTGCAGTCGCGGTAGACTTCGATGGCCTCGATAAATGCTTCGAGCTCATCCGCGTTCCTCGATGATCCGTTAAATCGCGCCGTGCATTTCGCGAAGTTACCTGCGCGCGGCGCATGCGTGTGTGCGTCGGCGGCTTCGGCGCGCGGCGATGACGTAATCAGCGGGTTTTTGTTTCCCGCCAAAATACTCTCAATCAGAACTCTGTTTGCTTCCACTTGACTCCTAGTGATGTTAGAGACAAGGGTATTTAGCATATCCTCCGACATTGTAATATTCGGGGACGAAATCACGGTTCTGTTTATCTCGACATCTGTGTCGGTATCCGATCCCTCATCTCTTCCAGTTCTTCTCTTCGGCGGCATGATAACAGGCAATTCCAACTGTTACTCGCTCGATGAGCACGGGTGATGATTTTTAGGATGGTAGCTTCAACGAGTCGGTAGGTATATACCTACAGACGCAACCGGCGGCACGCGGAAAATGGACTCGCCCAAGTGTTTTCACTTTCGTATTTGCACTGGTTTTACAATAGTTTTCGTGTGATTGCACTATCGGAGAGAGTTCACAATATGTGTTTGCACGATAGGAACACTAGAACTTGTTGTAACTTTGAGTTTTTATGCACAGTTCGTTCGTGGCCGCAAGTTGGGCGTCACTGTAATATAGTTGATGAAGATGATTGTTCTTGGTGGTGGGTTCTCAGGGGCGTGAAATAACGTTCGACACACGAATTACTGTAAACTGTATATATTGGAAATAAACTAAATATAAAACAAAGTTGCACAATAATACAAAAAAACTCAAAGAATATTCGCGGCACAAATATGGGCGTGCGTCGCGGCTCCGGCGCGGGACTCGTTGTTCTAGCGTCGAGCGGTCAGTGGCGGGGAAGCGGGGGAAGGGAAATAGTGTGGTGGCACGTTGCCACTAGAGTAGCGCGCGTGCGTTCGACACAAACCTAAATCGGTGTACCGCGTTACATACGTAGAAATGACGTTTTAGCCCCCAATCCTAAACTTTGATTCGTTTTATCAAAGTATTGTTTTATTATACGACAAAATAAAAAAATACGTGTCTAATATTTTTTCATTACCTAACTGACGGACTAATTAGATTTTAAATTTTCATACCCTGTCATCATCCCAATTATGTAACAAAATGGAATTCGCATAATGACATTGAAATATGTAGGTACATTTTACGTAATTCGAAATTACTTTGTATACTTCAATGACCAACTGTTTCCTTGATATAAATTATAAATGATAAACGAATAATTTTTGATAAAAACTCATCGCTGTTATGTGATAAACAAAAACGTATTTTTGTTTGTTTACAAAGTAAACAAGTTCATACCTAAAGATACATAAAATACAAGTGTCTTTTTGTAATCCTTACTTATATTATAAATCGGAAAGTGAGTTTGTTTGTTTGTTTGTTCCACTTTAACGCCGTAACTACTAAACCTATTGCTTTGAATTTTTGCATACGTAAAGTTAGAAGGCCGAATTAAATAATAGGGTACTTTTAATCCCGGAAAAATTTGATATTCCCGAGGGAAAACAAAAGTATTGGTATAGATGGCGCTGTGTGTATTGGTATATGTCACATTGGCTTTTTACCGTTTTGTGACGCGAGCGTAGCCGCAGGTAAAAGCTAGTATTAAAATAACCGGTTTTTACTACATGCATGTGAATATACATACCTACGATACACATACACATACCAAAATATCATTTTTTTACAATTTTAGTCTGTCTGTCTGTTTGTACTGGCTAAACTCTGGAATGTCTGCACCGATTTTGCAAGACTTTTATTGGCAGGTAGCTGATTTACTAAGGAGTAACATAGGCTACTTTTATTTTGAAAAATTGAAACAAAAAACGTTGCGGTCTAAAATTCATATTCGATTGTAAATAATAATCTTCAAGGCGTTTGCCAAAAGTGGGGCTTATGTATTGGGCGCCATTTAAAAGATGATATTTTTAACCGACTGCAAAGAGAAAAACAGGAGACTCTCAGTTTGACCTATGTCAAAGTCAAAGTCAAAGCATTTATTTCAATTAAACCATAGTTTGGTACTTTTGAAACGTCAACAAATACAAAATAAATAATAGTCTGTCAGTCAGTCCGTCAGTGAAACTAGGTGAAGCTAGGTGCTCATTACAAAATGTAGATTCGAATGGAGAAGAACGAGCAAGAAACTCCATTCGTTACTCTTTTTAAAAAAAAGTATGTTCTACAATGTCTCTGATACATATTTCAATACTGTACGCATATGTAAGAACAATGCAAAGACACGCTTAACGGTGTGCGCTACCCAGGCCAGATGCCGCCGAAAATTGTCACCCGATACAACAAAAAAAAAAACAGCCAAATCGGTCCAGCTATTCTATAATAAGTTGTGGCGTGTCAACGAGCAGACGAATCACCTGATGGCTAGCAATCTGAGTTGCCGACCTTTTGGACATCATTTAAAGATTAAGAAATCAAAGCCTGTGATTGGCTTGTTAATAACAAGTTGTTTCAGAACACAGAAAGCATTTTCCGTAAAAAAATATCGATAAGTAGGTACTAAATAAATTACATGACTCAAAACTGATAAATTCGATTGTTTTATGTTGTGCCCGATAATGAAACAAAATACGAAATTACATAATATTACCACAAGAGTAATTCCCCGTAGGTATAAGGTGTATAAACAATGTAATAATATAATAATAATAATCGATACTAATCTATACTCTTTGCTAAAAGCCTCGACCAACATCTGAGTAGGCTAGCGTTAGATGGTTGGGTCAAGGGCCTGATGCAGAAAGCAGTACTTCTGGACACGGCGCGTATTGTCCGGAAATTCCTTTCTCTGGAGCCCTGACCACCGGTAGCTTGGATTTCTCCCGTTACTGGTGGGCTACTGCTTTTTATATTTTTAAATGTTTTTTTTTTATATACTAGTCAAAACAAAATAAGGGCCACCACGTTTTTATAGTTTCCTCATGAAATTTTGAGGTTTAAGGGTTGATTAATGATTAGATTTGATAAATTAACTGTTTTTTATTATTAACAGCACAAAATGATGAAGGCCACATTCCAAAAAAATAAAATACCATTTTTTCTGAAAAACTAACATTTTTGCAAGCAAAACGTATGAAATAAAATTAAATGAAAAAAGAAAAACAAATCAGATATTGGTTGAATTGTAACTCCTCAATATTTAGTATGCCCTCCTCGTTTTCTAATGCACTCTTGAAGCCTGGATGGTACACTCTCCACCAAGTGTACCACTGTTTCTTGAGGAATTTGTTCCCAGCTTGATTTTAAAATGTTTATTAGCTGTCTTTCATTGTGCACGGGTTGGTTTGTGCTTCGAACGTTGCGTTTGAGTAAATCCCACATGTGTTCAATGGGATTGAGATCCGGACTGTTTGCAGGCCAGGGCAACACCTGTATACCAGCCTCCTCTATAGCTTCTCTAGTGGCCCTAGCTGTATGAGCGCGAGCATTATCGTGCATCAGACGGAATCTTGCGCCGATTCTTTGTGCATATGGGACCACATGAGGTCTTATGACCTCCTCGATGTAACGTTGAGCTGTAATTGTGCCTTCGTTGAGAATTATCAACTCAGTTCTACCTGATGTAGAGATTCCTCCCCACACCATAACGTTAGGGCCCCCAAATCTGTCACTTTCATGGATACAAGCATCCGAAAATCGCTCACCTTCACGCCTCCAGACCCTGATGCGACGGTCATCACTAAAAAATTTTACTTTGCACTCATCCGTAAACAATACTGTGCTCCATTCACTCATATCCCATGCCAGATGCTGCCTTGCGAACGATAATCGGTTTGCACGATGAGCACTTGTCAATGGTATCCGCACTACACGTCTCCTAGAGAACTGCTGGTCCTCGTGTAACCGATTTCTAATGGTTTGATCACTAACACGTGTACCCGTAGCCTGTCGCAAACGGTTTTGTAAGGAACGGGCTGTGATGCAGCGTTCTCTGCGCGCAGTCAAACGTATGTAGCGGTCTTCCTGTGCGGTAGTTGCTCGATTTCTGCCAGATCCCCGTCTCCTGGTTAGTCTCCCAGTCTCTTGAAATCGATTCCAAGCATTCTGAATTGCTCGCCGAGAAAACCCCAGCTGCATCGCAACAGAACGCTGCGAATGGCCTTCTTGAAGTAATGTTACGGCCCTAGTTACGGTTGGTAAGTCCATATGTCGTCGGATTCTCGGCATATCTTTGTTAAAGAAATAACTCAGCCAGAAGTAAAACAAAACTAAACTGTTCTTGACAGAATCGTCAGTTTGACTGACTTAAAATCCATCTTAAAATCGGGTAAAATCAAGTGGGTACAATAAATTATCAAAAACTGCCCACTTCACAGAGTTATGCCTGTAGAACACTTAAATAAATGTTTGTAAACAAATAAGGTAACGCTGTAATAACCATTCAGCTACTTGAGTACGAAGAAAAAATAAATTATCGCTGCCGCTGTTAAAAATAACAAGTGGCCCTTATTTTGTTTTGACTAGTATATAACCAAATATTTAAAAATATATAAATCAAGTATAGAAATAAATAAAGGAAATCTATACTAATATTATAAAGCTGAATAGTTTGATTTTTTGTTTGTTTGAACGCGCTAACCTCCGAAACTACTGGTCCGATTAGAAAAATTCTTTCTGTGTTAGATAGCCCATTTATCGAGGAAGGTTATAGGCTATAAAATATCACGCTACGATTAATAGGCGACGAGCAGAGTGAGTGAAACCGCGTGGAAGTAGCTAGTACTATAATATTAAGTGGAAAAGTTTGTTTTTTTGTTTGTTTGTTTGAACGCGCTAACCTCCGTAACTACAAGTCTGATTTGAATAATTCTTTTTGTGTTGGATATAAATAAATAAAGGTCTGCGACAGTCCCTGTATGCATGTCGCTTCTAACCTCGCGGTGTGTAGCCATTGGGGGAGGACTGTGGGGGGCGGTGGATAGTACGTGGTTGATTGTACGATGATGATGATAAAGCGAAGGTGAACTTGACCTAGAAATGTCCTACGACTGATACCACGGCCTTACAGGACAATGACGTGAAACAACAGCAGACGGGTGGGGGAGGTTACCCGGAGGCGCTAATTTTATTTTATATTTGATGGGCCGACGTTTGACCACTATCTCGCCTGGTGGTAAGCGATGATGCGGTCTACGATGGAGCACGTCGTCCCATAAGCAACCTATTCACTTGGGCCTTGAAGACACCCAGGTTAAACCCTTCAGGAAATACAGACTCTGGCAACGAATTCCACTCCTTAGCAGTACGCACAAGGAAGCGAAGCGCTTCGTGCGTGTGGGTGGGACATCTACCATGAATCGGTGACGCTTCGTCGATTGTCTTGTGATACGATGATGGAAAGGACTTGGCGCGGTGGCTAAGCGACTGGCTGCCGCGAAACGTGCCGCGGGTTCGATTCCCGCACAGAAAAACTCTTTGTGTGATCCACAAATTGTTGTTCCGGGTCTGGGTGCCATTGTGTATGTGAACTTGTATGTTTGTAAACGCACCCACGACACAGGAGAAAACCCTAATGTGGGGCAATACTAAAAAAGTTGTGCAATTCCCCTACACACTCACCAAAATGTATGAATGAATGAATGAATACACCTTCGTGAAAGGTGATCCAATCACAATAAGACTCGACGAGGGGACTACATTAGACAGAGACCGGGCAGCAGCGCTCTCTGATAAACCTGAACCTTTTATACTGCAATATCCCACCTGTATTCTAAGCATAGATATGAGAAGCCCTTTTATGTAGAGGAGGCTTATAGTCCGGCAATGGACTGTCATAGGATGGTCATTACATTGATAAAAAATAGATTAAAGTTTATCTTTTAAAACAGATAAAATAAACGATAGAATTCACACAATACAAGGAAAATTTAAAATATTAAAAATAGATTTGTAGGTTTTTCAAGTATCACTGGGTTTTTTAATAAAAAAATTCTCAGTAGTAGCACGGAGTGTGGAACTGTGTCCGGTATATGGCAATAGACTCACCCCTATTACATGGAACTCATAACATAAATAGTGAAAAGTGGGTGTTACATTGTACACTGGCATTAAGTGCCATAATATGCACCTCTGCCTACCCCTTCGGGGTAAAAGGAGTGCTGTTATAATGCTATGTACATTTTTAGGTAACTAAAGAAATGTTAACATCTTTTTACTTAATTTTATCTGCATTTACTTATCTTTGGAATATATTATAATCAATTTTTCAGGATTTGTTAATAAGACTTATCTTAATATAGGATATTGTATAACATAAATTCGTAATGCAGGGTGCACGTACACAATGTAACACCTACTTTTCACTATTTATGTTATGAGTCCCATGTAATAGGGGGTGAGCCTATTGCCATACTCCGTGCTACTACTGAGAGTTTTCAAAAAATCTCATGTTTGACAAGGGTCTATGTAATGAATTAAGTAGTAAAATAATGCTGAAAAGAATATCCACAGTAAATACAGACTTATAACACAATTAAATTTTTGCCCCATGCCATACAGATTAGTCTTTAAGTTCCATCACATTCACACGTCGGCTCTTGGGTTTTTAAAAGTGAAAAACAAAATTAATTAAATAAAATTAATTGAATACTCACAAATGACCGTCTTGGTCTATCGTTAGACAATATTTCCAGTCCATTAAACCTTGTTGGAGTAGCAGCTTCATCCGTTGTTCTGGTGGCACGTGACGTAACATATCTTTTAAGTCGAACGGTATCCGTTCATCCCCAGGACTCTCAGGAGAATTTAAGTTGAATATTCTAAATGGTTCCGCAACACCACATGGTTTACTTTCATTATTAATGTCCCTCGTATGACGATCAACGTTACTAATAATATTTAACGGATTATCCATTAAATCTGATGTCGTTTTAATAGACAATGAAGAAAACCGTCCCATACTGTTATCCGAATTAGAGTCTTCGTCAAACACAGACCCAAGTTCGGGCAAATTAACTTCTGGCGAGGACTCGGTCTTAACAATCTCTTCTTTGAAATCTGCAAATTTATCTGGAGATATTATTATTCGACGTGGCTTCTTGACTTCCTTCGGTGAATCCGTAACAACTTGAGGGGCTAAGTTCATTCGGCGGCTCCGTCTTTTAGTTTTCTTTGTGAAACCACTTAAGCAAGTCTCGTGAGTCTGCGAAATTGTTTCTACATAGTTTTTATTCACCGTATAACTCGCATCACTGAATTCTGTTTGGCAAGACGCTGAATTTGTATTCTTAGGAACAGTCAGCAAGGAGTGTATGCTTCGAATCTTCAATTCCTGACTTAAAATTGAGCACAGGGAACTAAATAATAAATCGTAATTACTTTGACCGATTAACTTAGTTATTTCTTCAGAGGTCTTCTCATACAACTGTCCTGTGTGGCTGTGACACCTCGCAATAGTTTTACAAGCCTTAGTCAATACATTTAGACGGTTGACTATCGTCATACTGCGGGCTTCCCCCGCCATGAAATCACCTTCTTTAGACGTATAAATCACATCCTCTTGAAACGAATTCTGCAACGATTTCACCACTTTTATGTTCTTCCCTATTGACTTGATGCCTTTTTTAATTATAATCTTCCTGTTCAGTATTAGAGGTATCTTTTTCACAGTTATAGGTTTCGCGTCTTCCGTAGCCATTGTTCACACTTTTGTATTGTTTTTTACACTTATTTTAATGTTGTCACTGTTTGTTATCGTTAACACTAGAGTTTGAATGCGCAATAGTAAGCTGTACGAACCATATTCATGGTTTTTTGAAATAAATAACAAGTTTGAGCACTGGGGTAACCCCCCGATTGTGACGTTTACCTATAAAGCATGTACCTATGTGTTGGATATTAGGTTACATCACGCTGTACGACTGCGATACGATACGACGTTATTGCGACTTGTTTATTCAAACCGATTTAATGACATCATTTACGTTATTGTATTTTGTTTCTTTTCCTTCCTGTCGTCATTCAAATATTTATACTTGTCATAATGTTTTACTTTCTGATCAATAATTGATTTATTTACTAAGGCTCATTCTTTTCCCACTTCGGCTTGTTATATTTATTTAAAACATGATTGGTAGACATTTATTTTATTGAATTGTTAAAACGACGTAGATATTGTTTTTGAATGATTACTTTCATAAGTAGGTACAAATAAACTATTGTATAACATTAACATTATATTAATAAAAATATTGTTCATACAAAATGGTTCTTGAAGAATATTAATTAATCAAAACGTATTATCGTAATCATGTCGTATCGGGTCCGTATCGCAATTATTAAAATTCCCCAGAACTTTCCATGCTGCGGCATTCCCCAGAACGTTCCGTTCCAACTTTGTTTCCTTGACCTATTTTCAAAGTTAACGAAATAAAATAATTTTATAAGTGATTTTGCTATTAGTTAAAAATACACAAAATATGTTTCTAATCTACTGCAAATATATTTACGTTGATATTCACATTAATAATATTTTTTCCCACTATATTTTTCAGTTTGACTTTTACGATTTTTGCTTGTAAAGGAACGCGTGGGAGCATCAACCTTGGCCTTGGTACTTGTTTTGAAGTGCGTTCAGAATACTAACTTCGTTAAATGTCTGATTTTATTTAACTTCTTTAAATTTTATTTTTTTTATTTCATTGATTTTATTCAAAAAATGCTTTGAAGTTGATACAGTTTAGATCTGGTTGTTTTATTAATGTACAAGTATTTTTTGAACTAATAAAAAATATAAAGTTCAAAGAGGAACTATTTAAGCAACTTGTGGTTGAATAATAAACACAAATAATTAATGATGATTAGTTTATTTTATGGACCTCAATACTCATGGTATTTTATAATTTACTGATTAGTTTCTATATTTTTATTTTTCTTTTCTTCTACAAGTATTCGATCTTATTGTAAGTTAGCTTTCCTTTAATATTTTGATTTTTGATAAAGTTCTAAAAAGTTTAATAATTTAAAAACTTTTTAAAAAGAAAATATACATTGCTTTGATATATTTTATTCAAGAAAGAATCAAGTTTTGAACTCCATCTTTTATATAATATAATAGCTAAGTTTTACGATTACTTATTCTTATTACGTTTTAAATTTTGAATCAGTAAATTCAACCTAAAACGTAAACCTAAGATAAAAATGTATGAAAAGAACTTCAAAATGTTAAAGAAATAGTGGAACTGTACATAGTTTAGATAATTGAATGAAAAACGTAGATACCAAATTAACAGTGCAATGCTCCAGTTATGAGACTAGGTTAGGTATTTATTTTGTTTTTTTTTTTGGCCATGGTTGTCCCACTGCAGGCCAAAGGCCTCCCTAACCTCCTTCCACTAGTCTCTTTATAGCTTTCTGTGGCCAATCCTTTTCATAGGCGTCCAGTTCATCTCATTTAGGGTAGATATTTATTTTTAATAAAAAAATCTTTTCAACAGTTGATAGAAGGAAATATTTCAACATTAATGTACCTGTATGTTTGAAATCTAAAACATACATTTGTTTTGTAATTTTACATTTAAAAGCTATATACTTAAGTAGAAAAATAAACTTAAAATTACTTTAAAAATAATTTTAATAGATCAAGTCATAAATAATGACATAAACAGGAAGGAATTACATTTTTGCTGTTGTAAAATTACAACATTAAATACTAATATTAAAAACTTATATGCTGCTTAGCATTTATGGTCATGCAAACTAAACAGGTCATGCAAACTATACAAAATTTTAGTTCAATGCATTGAAGATATCTGCTTTAAAATCTGCATCTGCACAAGATTCTACTTCATACACACACACACACACACATATATACATACATAGCAAGTTATATGAAAGCATGTAAAAATAACAGGTATACGAACACTTGCCAATGTACTGCGTCAAAGCATATTTCTTTAATAGGGGAATTCCCTACCAAGAGCTAGGGTTACAGAACATGTAGAGAAAAAAGAAGCTTCCCTTTGTACAGTACTCAGTTTATATTACTTAAGATAAGATATTACTTAGAAAAGATTTTTTTTTTATTTATTTTTTTTTTAATTTTTTTTTGTTTGGTTTCCGAGTTAGTGAGTTTGGATTGGTTTATATTAAACTATAGGTGTTGTCAGCGACTTAGAATATGAATTTTCCAAAATAAAAGTAGCCTATGTTACTCCTTAGTACTTACATCAGCTACCTGCCAATAAGAGTCTTGCAAAATCGGTCCAGCCATTCCAGAGATTAGCCAGTACAAATAGACAAACATTGTAATTATAAAAAATATTTTGGTATGTTTTTGGTATATGCATGTAGTAAAAAGCGGTTATTTTAATATTACAAACATACACTACAATTTTATTTATCTGTAAGTATAGACCTTTTGAATGTATTGTGGCTTTTTTGGAGTATAATATTAAAAATATTGTGGTTTTTAAAAGGTTTTGCACCTAATTAGAATTTTGCTCAGATTGGAACTATAAAATCAAAATAAAATAAAAAAAGTGGAATTCTTTGCTAGAGTCTGTATTTCCTGAAGGGTATAAATAAACCTGGGTGTCTTCAAGGCCCGAGTGAATAGGTTGCTTATGGGACGACGTGCTCCATCGTAGACCGCATCATCGCTTACCACCAGGCGAGATAGTGGTCAAACGTCGGCCCATCAAATATAAAAATAAAATAATGATATGTAAATGTACAAAATAAATTACTCATGCCCAAATACTCAAACACCACTCAATTGTAAGTCGCGCTTAACTATAGTTCTGTCTCTATAAATTCTTTGTGAAACGACAGAGACGGCACGATACTTAAAACAAAATTGAGTAGTCTTTCAGTATTCGGGTGTAAGTGCCAAAAACCATAATATCTTTTGATTTCATACATAAACAAACATTAGACACCATTAAGTGCCGCGTAGGGTTGCCAACTTTATTTGGAAGAAAAGATATAGGTACTCTAATATCTGATTTTAAAGGAGGTAAAGAATGATTTTTAAGATTTATTTTAGGCGTTGCGTTATACTAGGATTTTCTCCTGTGTCGTGTGTACGTTTACAAACATACAAATTCACATACACATGACACACAGACCCGGAACAACAATCTGTGAATCACACAAAGAGTTGTTCCGTGCGGAATTCGAACCCGCGTCACGTTGCGCGGCAGCCAGTTGTCCAGCCACCGCCCCAATCATTCCGTCAAGAATAATGTTTAGGTATTTCAGAAAAAATATTACAATGTTGTTGTATCCTGGACCTCACACTAGGATTTCCTGTGTCGTAAGGCCCGGGTCCCTAACCATAATTGTGTACTATGTAGGTATGAGTGTGACTGTGTATGAATATGTGTGTATTTGAGAGTGTGCGCGCGCGCGTGTGCGTGTATATAAGTGAGAAAGTGAGTAAGGGTTCATGTTTGGAAGGTCAGGTAAATAAAGATTAGATACCTACTTTTCATAACAGAGTGGTATTGTGCCAATAATTGAAATATTGGTTTAGTTTAAAAAATACTTCAAAATGCGCTGAACTAAAGTATTTTGTAAATGATCACTTATGATGCTCTCAAGCTGAAAAAAATCTTTGGACCACTGTAAACAACTTTATTAACATTAAATTGTAGACTTAACTTTTTAAGTGTGAGAGAGCCATGCTTCGGCACGAATGGGCCGGCTCGACCGGAGTGATACCACGGCCTCACAGAAAACCGACGTGAAGTAACGCTTGCGTTGTGTTTCATCGTGTGAGTGAGGTTACCGGAGGCTCAACTATCCCCTTCCCCAATCTCCCCAATCCCTGAATCCCCAACGATCCTCAAACTCCTAATCCCCAAAAAGCCGGTAACACACTTGTAACGCCACTGGTGTTCCAGGTGTCCATAGGCGACGCCGATTGCTTATAATCAGGTGATCCGTCTGCTCATTTACCGGCTTATGCCATAAAAAAATCTGATCATGGGTTTTTGCCTATTATTACAAACTGGCACTATAGTTAAGTAAACAATGTAAAAAATAGTACTTTACCTTATTCTATAAGTGTTACAGATTATAGAACACACCTACATGGTCTAGACTAGTCTAGAGGCATTTTGACTTTTAAGTGTAGCCATATAAATATGAATATATTATTTTTTAAGTTGCTTTTTTAAGATTTTTAAAGGCATTGCTGTCTATGCTGTACTACACAGTCTATTATAACTTATATTTTATTGTAAACTAGCGACCCTGCATGTATTATACATTATAAACCTCCCTTAAGAAAGAATCACTCTATCCATTAAAAGAAACCGCATCAAAATCCGTTGCGTAGTTTTAAAGATCTAAGCATACATAGGGACAGACAGACGGCGGATAGCGACTTTGTTTTATACTTTGTAGTGATTATTATCATGTTTTGTTTAATAAAAACGGAAAATAAATGGACAGGTAGTGAAACAGTGCTCACTTTGGTGACGACGTATAAATTAATCTACGTGTTAATGGTTTAATTATTATGACTCAATTTTTATCCCCGATCGCTACTGAATATTATAATCTGTCGAAAAAAAAAATAGATAATAACCTTATCACATAAATACCAGCCATTTTTCAGACATTCAGCCTACTTTGCTAAAAATAAAAAAAAAAACCACTACTCACCTCAATTCTGGAATTGAACCAGAG